GGAAGGAGAAAGGGGGAGGAGGGGAAAGGGGAAAGGGGGAGGTAGGGGAACGGGAAGGGGAAAGGGTTGAGGCATCTTCATTTTTGAAACTTATGGTCAATGTTCAATTTGTACACTTTATTTTTCATCTCGGGTCCGTTAAAATATTTCAGAAACACGCACACACACACACACAACACACACACACATACACACACACACACACACACACACACACACACACACACACACACACACACACACACACACACACACACACACGAAGAGCTTACCTCTATTTCAACCGTATTGGCGAGCTCCTGCCACTCCGTCGTGTCTCTGTTGGACAGCACGGGCCGCCATTCTGTCCCGTCGATAATCCTGATGGTTGCTGCCAGGCGGCACTTTGAGCCACACACACCTGGAAATGGGTGGTTGTTTTAGTGTTTTAGAGGCTTTGGTCTGATGATTTTTTTTTTTTTTTTATGGATCGACTCCCTTTTTATATCAATCACTCTATTTTTTTCCCCGCAGCATAATCTTCTTTTTATTTTAGTTTTTTTTTTCATAAACTTTTCTGCTTTTGTTCTAGGTCGTACCTATAGTTGTTGGCATTGGAGTGGTCGTTGTGGTTGTCGTGGTGGTGGTGGTGGTTCTGGAAGTCGTGGTAGTCGTCGTGCTCTTCAACTGGTCCTTGTCCTTCGCCTTGGGGGCCCCGCCGACGGGCGTTGCCTCCGTCGTGGGCTTCCAGCCAGTGAACTCCGTGGTCGTCTTTACACTGCAATAAAGGGACCATTGAACTCAATATATTATTCAGTAATCTAAGCTTGATGAATCATTTATTGATATAAACCTAATAAATTATTTAATAATTCAAATTTAATATCTTATTTAATAATACAAACTTGATAAAACTATTCCTCAATCTAAACTTAACAGGTCATTTAACAATCTAAGCTTATTAACTTATTCAATAATCTAAGCTTAATAAATGCTAAAAGCACCGGTACAACTCAAAGGCTCGATGAAACCACGGCGGGCGACGCGAGAAAGTACTTACGCTTCCCAGAGGTTCCTGAAGGTGGGCTTGAGGGGCGGGGGGCCGGAGGCAGTTGGGGCCGTGGGCTTGGGCGTCGTCAGATAGGAAGGGCGGCTTGGGCGGCGTGGGAACACCAAGCCTCGGGGTCCAGGGCGCTCGGTGGTGGTGGTGGTGGTCGAGCACCACACACACACACACACACACACACACACACACCACACACACACACACACAACACACACACACACAACACACACACACACACACACACACACACCACACACACACACACACACACACACACACACACACACACACACCACACACACACACACACACCACACACACACACACCACACACACACACACACACACCACACACACACACACACACCACACACACACACACCACACACACACACACACCACACACACACACACACACCACACACACACACACACACACCACACACACACACACACACACCACACACACACACACACACACACACACACACACACACCACACACACACACACACACACACCACACACACACACACCACACACACACACACCACACACACACACACACACACACACACCACACACACACACACCACACACACACACACACACACACACACACCACACACACACACACACACACACACACACCACACACACACACACACACCACACACACACACACACCACACACACACACACCACACACACACACACCACACACACACACACCACACACACACACACACACCACACACACACACACACACCACACACACACACACACACACCACACACACACACACACACCACACACACACACACACCACACACACACACACCACACACACACACACACACACCACACACACACACACACACACCACACACACACACACCACACACACACACACACACACCACACACACACACACCACACACACACACACCACACACACACACACCACACACACACACACACCACACACACACACACACCACACACACACACACACACACACACACACCACACACACACACACCACACACACACACACCACACACACACACACCACACACACACACACCACACACACACACACACACACCACACACACACACACACACCACACACACACACACACACACACACACCACACACACACACACACCACACACACACACACACACCACACACACACACACACACACACCACACACACACACACCACACACACACACACCACACACACACACACCACACACACACACACCACACACACACACACACACCACACACACACACACCACACACACACACACACACCACACACACACACACACACACACACCACACACACACACACCACACACACACACACACACACCACACACACACACACCACACACACACACACCACACACACACACACACACCACACACACACACACCACACACACACACACACACCACACACACACACACCACACACACACACACACCACACACACACACACACCACACACACACACACCACACACACACACACCACACACACACACACACACACCACACACACACACACACACCACACACACACACACACACCACACACACACACACCACACACACACACACACACCACACACACACACACCACACACACACACACACACCACACACACACACACACACACCACACACACACACACACACACACCACACACACACACACACACACACCACACACACACACACACACCACACACACACACACCACACACACACACACACACACACACACCACACACACACACACACACCACACACACACACACACCACACACACACACACACCACACACACACACACCACACACACACACACCACACACACACACACCACACACACACACACCACACACACACACACACCACACACACACACACACACACACACACACACCACACACACACACACCACACACACACACACACACACACACCACACACACACACACCACACACACACACACCACACACACACACACCACACACACACACACACCACACACACACACACACACCACACACACACACACCACACACACACACACCACACACACACACACACACCACACACACACACACCACACACACACACACACACACACACACACCACACACACACACACCACACACACACACACCACACACACACACACACACCACACACACACACACACCACACACACACACACCACACACACACACACACACACACCACACACACACACACACCACACACACACACACCACACACACACACACACACCACACACACACACACACACACACCACACACACACACACACACACACACCACACACACACACACCACACACACACACACACCACACACACACACACACACCACACACACACACACACACACCACACACACACACACACACACCACACACACACACACCACACACACACACACCACACACACACACACCACACACACACACACCACACACACACACACCACACACACACACACCACACACACACACACCACACACACACACACACACCACACACACACACACACACCACACACACACACACACACACACCACACACACACACACACCACACACACACACACCACACACACACACACACACCACACACACACACACACACACCACACACACACACACACACACACACCACACACACACACACACACACCACACACACACACACACCACACACACACACACCACACACACACACACACCACACACACACACACACACACACAACGTTGATCTCGGGGACCAGGGGCGTGGCGCTCTCGCTGGGCGATTCCTCCGAAGGCTTCAAGCCCTCGGAGGCGACGGTGACGATAACCGGAGCCTTCTCCGTCGTCGCCTCGGCCGTCTCCCGTTGCTCCGAGAGCTTGTAGCCCGGGGGCAGGAAGGCAGACACGTCCACCAAGTCTGTGTCGCTGAGCAGTCCGGAAAGGGGACCCTTCTCGGTGGTGGTGGTGGAGGTGGAGCTGGAGGCGGAGTCTGTGCTGCTCTGGATGGCCGAGAACAGTTCCAGGAGGTTGGGCTTCTGTGTTGTGGACGTGGAGGTTGAGCTGGAGGTCTGCGGGGTCGTCTCCGGCGGGACGACGGCCTTCTCTGTGGTGGAGGTGGACGTGGTCGTGGAGGAAGTGGTCGAGGTGGAGGAGCTGGTCGCGTCCTCCGCCTCGTAGCCCGGCGGCAGGAAGGACGAGATGTCGGCCACCTCGACGGCGCCCAGCCTGGCATCGGTGGCCGTGATGGTGTGACCCTTGGTGTCGATCTCGATGTTGAAGAGGCTCTCGAGGCGCGGCGTGGATTTGGTGACCGGCGGGCCCTCGGGGAGTCGCTGGGCCTTCTCGGCGGCGCCGCTGTCGCTGTTGATGCTGGCGAAGTTGTCGAGGCGCTTGGGCGGGCGCGGCGCGGCGGTGGAGGAGGAGGCCTGGCCGGGAAGGATGGCCGGCGCGACGTCCACCGTTTCGTGGATGTCGGAGAGCGAGCGGCGGGTGGTCGTCTCCTGCGCCTCCTCGGTGGTCTCAGGAGGAACGGGGAACGTCGTGGAGGAGGTCGTGGTCCGGGCGGTTGAAGAGGCGGCGAAGGACGAGGCAGGAGGGCCCACCGGCGGCAGGCGCGTCGTGGGGCCGACGCCCTCGCTCACGCTCACGCTGTGCGACGTCTGCACGGACGCCACCACCACGGAGCTCTCGGTCGAGTTGGTCACGCGCACCTCCACGCTGGGCCGCGCGGCGTCGCGCTCCTCGTCGCGCCCGACGGAGAAGGTGGCGGGGCTCTGCAGCACGCGGCTGTCGCGGTTGTTGTCGCCGGCGCCCGACAGGCTGTTGGTGAGCGGCGGCGGCGGAGGCTCGTCCTGCGACTTCTGCTTGAGGCTCGCGATCAGCTCCGACAGCGTCGCGTACCTGCCCGCCGCGCTGTCGCTGCCGTCGTCGCCGTCACCGCCGTCGCTGCTGGGGCGTCGCGGCAGCGCGGGCCGGCGCGTGGTGCGCGTGGAGTCGCGCGAGGCGAAGCGGAAGGGCTTGGCGGTGGTGGGCTGCGTGGGCCGCGTGGAGGGCTCCGTCGGGCGCGTGGAGGGCTCCGTCTGCCGGGTCGGGGGGTCGAGCGGCCCGAGGTCGCTTTCGGTGCCGTTCTGGTCGTCATAGTAGTCGTAGTAGTAGTCATAGTAGTAGTAGTCGTCGTAGTTCCCGGGGGCGGCGTTGTCGTCGACGGGTTCGGCGACGGACGGCGCGGACGTCGTGAACCTCAGATTGAACGCGGGAGACGCGGCGGACGGCGACGACGCCGGGCTGGCCGCAGGCTCGTGGGTGGAGTCAGCGTCGGTCACCAGAGGGCGCCGGAAGCGGTCCACGCGATCCTGCATGAGCAGAAGGGAAGGGGAAGTTAAAACAACAACAGCATCAACAAACAACAACAACAATAACACTGTTCTGTTAGTTCCTTCAGACTATGAATTAATAGATACACATATTACTGTAAATAAATACACACACACCTGCAAGTAAGTCCTTTACACACGTACGCCCAGATAGACTCAAACACACACCCACACCTAAGAGCAGGTCCTCCTCCAACTCACCTGAGGAATGAAGGTGATCCTCGAGCCGGTGCGGCTGTTGTCTGGTCGCTTCGTCTCGAACCTAAATCTCGAGGGCGGCTCCGTCGGGTCCACAGAGAGGGAGGGTTGAGCGGGGGGGCTAGGGGCGCCTCCCTCGGACAGCTGGAGGGCCCTGACGAAGGCGTTGAGGGTCCCTGTGCTCACGGAGCGGGCGTCGGCTGCGGGGGGAGGAGAGAAGCGCTCGGGTTAAGGGCGGCGACAGAAACAGTTATAGACAACATCTGCTTCTAAACCTCAGAATGAGCAAATAAGTAGACAGACAGACAGATAGATAAATAGATTAATAAATAGACAAATGGACAGCTGTGTTACTCTATGAATATGCTCTTAACAACAATACGTTATCATATCTCTATGTTATCATCATTCTCAGGATCATCACTATGATTCTTACTATCGTTATTACTGTCATTATCTCCATCATTATCCACACAAATTATTATCATGCAGAAATCAACACCTAAAATGGACACTCAATAGACAAATATTAGAAAACAAACAAACAAGCAAACAAAGAGAAACCCCACCCCAATCAAGATATCCTCGATCACCCCTACATTCGCGCCCCTTAAAATTAGCGTGCCCCATTTTTGCGTCCCCTAAACTACCCCAAATACCAGACTCCTCCTCACCCCCCCCCCACCCAAAAAAAAAAAAAAAAAAAAAAAAAATATCGCAGGCCCAGCTTTGCACGACCCCCAAAATTGCAAGCACGTGACCAGTCCAGCCTCGGCCTCGTGACCCCGGCTGAGGGGGAGGGGGGGGAGGGCGGAGAGAGAGAGAGGAGTAGGATTAGGAGGAGAAGGAGGAGAAGGATTAGGAGGAGGAGGAGGAGAAGAAAAAAAAGCAGAAGAGGAAGAGGAAGAAGAAGAAGAAAAAGCAGAAGAGGAAGAGGAAGAAGAAGAAAAAGTAGAAGAGGAAGAGGAAGAAGAAGAGGAGAAGGTGTAGGTGGTGGAAGAGAAGTAGGAGAAGAAGGAGGAGGAGAAGGAAGAATATGAGGAGGGAGAATTCGAATAGACGAATAATCAGAAGAAGAAGAAAAAGGAAGAAATAGAAGATTTAGTGTTCTTGTCTCGCCCAAACCTCTCTTTGAAGTTTATCTTATAGAGAGAGAAGTTAATTACGAGAAATATCCATTAAAAACACCTTTTACTTTGCACGATATCAATTTCATCAGGGAAAACCGTCATTGCACAAAATGACGTCATTATTACAACATGGTTTAAGTTCCCGTTTGAGCAGTTAAGTAAAGTCTCTCTCTCTCTTTCTGTCTTTGTCTCTGTCTGTCTGTCTGTCTCTCTCTCTCTCTCTCTCTCTCTCTCTCTCTCTCTCTCTCTCTCTCTCTATATATATATATATATATATATATATATATATATATTTTTTTTTTTTTTTTTTTTTTTTTTTTTTTCATACATATATATATATATATATATATATATATATATATATATATATATATATATATATATATATATATATATATACATATATATATATATATATATATATTTTTCTTTTCTTTTCTTCTTCTTATGTCGTTCATGTTGACGTTCACAGTTTTTTTTACAATTCTCAAGCATTTAACAAGCGGTTCACAAAAAGTGATAAAAGTCTAAGTGTCAGATGATAAACTCAACTGTGTGGACATAACTGTTATTTCTTTTAAACACTATTTATTTAATATATCAATGCTACTGTATTTTTCTGTAAGCCTGACAAACTCATCTCTTCCTCTCCTTCAATCTCCCCATTTTCCTCTCCTTCTTCCTTACTCATCCCATTTACCTCTCCCCTACATTCCCTCCATCTCCCTCCCCTTCCCTCTCCTTCATTCCCTCCCCTTCCCTCTCCCCCTTTATTCCCTCCACCTTCCTCCCCTTCCCTCTCCTCCTTCATTCCCTCCACCTCTCTCCTTCTCCCTCACTTCTTCCCCTTCCCTCTCCTCCTTCATTCCCTCCAGCTCCCTCTCCTCTCTCCCTATCCCTATCCTCTTTCATTCACTCCATCTCCCTCCCCTTCCCTCTCCTCTTTCATTCTCTCCACCTCTCTCTCCTTCTCCCTCACTTCCTCCCCTTCCCTCTCTTCCTTCATTCCCTCCACCTCCTTCCCCTTCCCTCTCCTCTTTCATTCCCTCCACCTCCTTCCCCTTCCCTCTCCTCTTTCATTCCCTCCACCTCCTTCCCCTTCCCTCTCCTCTTTCATTCCCTCCACCTCCTTCCCCTTCCCTCTCCTCTTTCATTCCCTCCACCTCCCTCCCCTTCCCTCTCTGTCACTCTATTTTCTCAAGTGACAAGAGTACACTTTGCCACCCAGATTCTCTCTCGTGCATGACTGTTGAATCACTTGCAATAACAAGTTGTATCTTTTGGCTTTATATCTGTAACTTTGTTTTCACTTTTTTATGAATATGTATGTCTATAAATTCATTTATTCGTTATTTTTATGATTATCATTATATTCTTTTGTATATAGATACATATAAATCTATTTCTTCTTCTTCTTCTTCTGATAAAGTTGTCTGAGACTTGTGTTGCGTGTAGAAATTCGCCTGTGGTTTCTTTGTGATTTCTGTGGTTGTTGTTATATATTATCTTCTCTTTTTTTTTCTTTCTTATTTTTACTAGTTTGTTCGGTATTGTGCTTTTAAAAGGAAAGTGAGAGTGTGAGTTGGTGAAAGGTGTACAAGATCTCTTTGGGCAAATCAAAGAGAAAGAGAACGTAAAAGAAAGAGAGAAAGTAAGAGAAAGAGAGGAGTAAGAAGAAATAACAAACACTAACACTAATAATACAACGGAGACAAACAGCTAAACAATCACAGAGAGAAGAGGAGAGAGACCCTCGGCGTTTTGAAGCACGAGTGAACCGGAGCTGTCGGTCTGTCGAAATGGCCTTCGATCACAGGCCTCCTTATCGGTGATTTCAGTCTTTCCTTGCTTTATTTACGCCGTCCTATCCATTCCTTTCGCTTCCTCCTCCTTCGTTGTTTGGAATTTGTTTCCTTCTTTTTCTTTCTTTCTTTCTTCTTATCATTATTTTGTTCTTCTTTTTTCTTCTTCTTCTTCTTTTTCTTCACCTTCTTTCTTCTTTTTTTTGTATCTTTCCCCTACCCTACTCTGATTGTACCTTCCATCTTTCTCTCTCTCCCTCTCCCTCTCTCTCTTTCTTTCTCTCTCCCTCAGTAGTAGTGGAGGACAAGAGAAAAAAAAACTAATGCTGATGAGTAATAAACAAAGAAGAAAAGGAGAAATGGAAGAAAAAGATGAAGAAAACTAAAATGACGAATAAAAAAACAAAAATAAAAACAAAAATAAACCTAACCAACCAAATGAAAAAAATAATATGACTAAAATTTAAAAACCAAAACGAAAATGAAGAAGAAACATTCGAAAATCAAATACTTCTTGTCACTAAGTTCCCGACGTGTCACCCAGCGTCTGTCAATCAAGGATGGAAAATGGACACGCAATCTGCCGAGAGAAATGTTTAAGGAAAAGAAAGGAAAAGTGACGGGGGGGGGGGGTGTGTGAAAGGGCGTGTGGGATGAGGGAGGGAAGAAGAGAAAGAGGGAGGAAAGGTGAGAGAGAGAGAGAGAGGGGGGGGAGAGAGAGAGAGAGAGAGAGAGAGAGAGAGAGAGAGAGAGAGAGAGAGAGAGAGAGAGAGAGAGAGAGAGAGAGAGAGAGAAGAGAACAGAAGAAAAGAAAAGAGAGAGAGAGTGAGTCAGCCTCCGTGACCGCAACGAACGCTTAAACACCGTACTCAAGGTGACATGCCTGCTCGTTCTAACTTCGAAAAATATCACCATCTCAAAATGACACACCATTTTCTTTCTTTTTTTCTTCTCATGCTTCAAATGTATCCGCGTACAAAAAAACACATTCCTCGGCGGGTGATCAGCTCACTGTTCCCGCTCTTAAGTGGCACTTTGATCACGCTACTATAGAAAGGTTAAGCATTCGAAAAGAGACGAAGCGAGAGAGCGGGAAACCGAGAAGCGAGTGGCGGTTACGACCGTTAAAATACTGGAAATGTCTCTTTCTCACGCGTGGGTTGAAAATTTGAATGCATTCTCATTGAAAATTTGAATGCATTCTCTTTACAGGCGCTGGCTTCCTCCTTCCCTTCCTCTCTGTCTCTCCTTCTCTCTCTCCGTCTTTACCTACTTCTCGCTCTCCGTCTCTCCATCCCCCTCCACCTCTCTCTATCCCTCTCCCTCTCTCCTTTTCTTTCTCCCTCTCTCCTTTTCTTTCTGGTTCCTCTAGTACAGACAATACTTGCGAAGGATTTTGGACATGTACGACGAGTAAAATTTACGATCCCTCCAACTCGGCGGAACTAGAACACCAGTTCTGGTTTCGAGCAAAAGGAGTAAAATTGATCTGCTCTCATTACACAAACGGGAAAGTAAGTCTCAGCCAACACCCACGGCGTGCCCACCTGCCAGGGACGAAAAGCCATATGGTCTTGCATTAAATAATACCCACAGCTTCCGAGCTGAGGAAGGCCTTCATCTACGTTAAGAAAAAAAAAGAGAAAAAAAAATCTGCATGAATGCGGAACTTGACGTATCGATACCATTATCACGCAGATATTAAAAAGCAAAAAAAAGAAAAAAAAAGAGCATATATACCTATCAATCACTCTCCCTTTTTCCCGCCAGATCACAATCAAAGCGGAATCGTGGTCTTGTGAAGGAGGCCAGCCAGGTCCTGGTCAGTTAATATCAAGAGACCGTGGGTTCACACTCCACTTTGGAAAGGTCAGAAAAGGTCAAAGGGCGTGCCCACGGCGTTGCCACACGGCCCGGCAACAGCTGTTCGCACGCTGAGAACATTTGTCTTTCGTTAACTTTTTTTTTTTTTCTTTTATATTCGCATGCCAATCAAAGAATCTGGAAAGTACCTTTTTTTTGTGGGGGGGGGGGGGGGGCGGGGCAAGATCAATTACGTTTTCAGGAATTTAATGTATGTCTTATCCAACCTCATACCCTCTCCCTCACTCTCACTCTTTATCTCTCTCCCTCACTCTCACTCTTTATCTCTTACCTCACTCTCACTCTTTATCTCTTACCTCACTCTCACTCTTTATCTCTCTCCCTCACTCTCACTCTTTATCTCTCTCCCTTTCTCTCACTCTTTATCTCTCTCTCTCTCTCTCT